AGGACCTAGAACAGAGAAGAGGTCCCTTCTAGGAGAAGCCGAAGCAGAAGCGGAGATGGGGATTCCACACGTAGTCAACTCATTCAAATCTGTAGGTTACTGCGAGCCCCATACCAAGTCCATGATTCTCTAGATTCTATCAAAAATCGTCCGTCCATCAGTCCGAAACCGAGTGAGCATCCGTATCCATATGCATCACTACTGATCCTTTGTCCCTTTCTAAATCCAGCTTCAACCGAGCATACGTCTGCCGCAGGAACAGGAAGAATGAAAATTGACTTTTATGTTGAAATCTTTCCCGTTGGAATGCTGGGGGGCGCCACGCACATCTTGTAAGAATCATGCTTTGTATCTGAAGTTGTTGGCCCATGGTCCTCAGTGAGGAAAGGACCTAGAACAGAGAAGAGGTCCCCTCTAGGAAAAGCCGAAGCAGAAGCGGAGATGGGGATTCCGCACGTAGTCAACTCATTCAAATCTGTAGGTTACTGCGAACCCCATACCAAGTCCATGATTCTCTGGATTCTATCAGAAATCGTTCGTCCATCAGTCTGAAACCGAGTGAGCATCCGTATCCACATCCGAATCCGTCACAATAAGAGTGGTTAAGCCTAAGTCCAGAGACCTTTTCAGATGCCTGCCTTCACTAAAGAAAGGAGAAGACGAACCCCCGAAAGTATGCTTTCAAGTTCCTTTTCAATAAAGAATTTGCATGTGTTCAGTTAGTAGGAACCGGGAGTCTCCCCCTTCAAAACTATGGGATGTCTTGGCAATTCATATGTGATGCCCGACCTACCTATCTCTTTGGAAAGTGCTACAAGATTAACAATCCATCTCTAAGGCAATCTTTAAGGCGGAGAAAGAGGAGTTTAGCTAGCCTGATAGTAGTAAGAGAGAGTTCTCCGTGGCTTACTTTTCTTTTTGGAGATCCTAAATGGTAGAATACTACACAGCTTAAAGAGTGCATTTTTCACCAGGCAGCACATCAGCAGATGCCATAAATTCCTCTGAAAAATCATAGGCCATACAATATAATTCAAATTCCCCATTGTCGGGAGAAGTGAATCCAAAAATGGCAAGGAGCTCTGTAAATGCTGAAGGTGTGGTTCATCTAAACACTCATCTATGACAAGAACAATAGGTGCAGACATTCTGGAATCAGAAACTGGAATAAAACCAGGTCTCTTGTTTCCAGTTTGAACATAATCATAAAAAGAATTGTTTAAGTTAGGTTCTTTACAACCAAATCAAGAACAGAACCTTTAGGCGGCACCAAAACAATTATCATTACCTCTCTTTTCTCCCTGGTAACTAAGTCCAAATGGTAGGTTTCAAATCTTTCTCCCTTCGCTGACTCTTTATCTTCAGCTTCAATTATAGAGCATTCTGCTTCCCGGCGAACTTATAAATTCTTTGATTCGTTCGAGCGACGGCTTGGAGGGCAGGAGTAATAGGGCGGAGCATGCCGAAACTGGCCAAGCAAGCCTACTATCCTTTCTTTATTAGTTAGTGCCAGCTCTCCCGACGATGGAATCCCTTTCCTACAGCTAGTCCTAGTTCCATAATGCCCTATTACTAATTCCACTGCCCGCGCCGGTCTTTCAAAGCCTACTATCGAGGTGGGGTCCTTTCCTCTATTTGGTAGTGGGATGTGAAAGTTAAAAAATTTCCCGCTTCTTTCACATTAATCCGCGGAGTATAATGACCCATGGATTGGTTAGTCAATGATCTCCTCTCTCCAAATCAAAGAATTAGTGTACCAATTATGTTTACCCGAGGAGGGGGGAAACAAGGGTTCGATGAGAAAGAGCTATGAAAGAAAGAAGGCAGCATAAGCTTTCATTTCTTGGATTTTCCACTTCTTTCTGTGCATAGGAGGAGTTTGTCGAGAAGCACAACATGAACTAATGAAGAAATGGGTTATGGCCCCCGCTATGACTCCAGTACCCCTTTACTAGGAGAAAGTTTGACCCATTGTAACAGGAAATATTTTTCGCAAAACAACAGGCTAAAGGGCGATCGCCCAAGCAATTGATTCGGTTTCACAAAGATCTTTCTATTCGACTAATTCACTAGAGGTTTAGATCTAATGAGCGGAGGGACGTCTTAATTCAAAGGCACCTGCGCCAAAACTTCTTCAGAAAGGGGAGAGTTGATGATATACATATCAAAAATTCATGTTGGTTGATGAATGGAATCTCTTACTTTATTGGGTGGTTTCACACATAGGGTTTCGCTTCCTCTCTCTTTAAGCAGATGATGCATGCTCTTCTATAGCGGTGATAAAAAAGCTTTCCTACACGCCCTTCTGTCTTCCTGCTCATTTCTATTCTCCCACACACCCACTCTTGAAAGGCTAGCCGGGAAAGAAGTGCTTTTTCGGGTTTGGTTTGCCTAGATAGGAAGTGCGCTTGGAGTGCTTCTAGTAACGAAATTGAAGTGCAATATCTTTCTGTTTTATTTTAGGGGTATGATTCTTTCTTTCTTTGGCTTAAAAGCTAGAGCTTGTGCTTCGGTAGCAGTACCTATTTTAGAGCGATATAACCTCGTTGTTCGCCTCTCAATGTCCAGGTCATTCCCCTGCCCTCTCTCTCGATGTGGTGCCTTTCATTCTGCTTTGTCAACACTTTATTTATCGCAATGCTGAAAGGTAGGATTTCAGGTCTTTTCCCAAGCTATTAATATTCATCAATGACATAGTATTAAGAGATAAAGACTTTTTTTATTTGATCTTCCATCCGCAAAGACGATGAAAACGGTAGCTGAACCACTTACTTCAAGTGCTAGCGTACAAGAAGTCACTTTCGGCAGTGAATCACATCACATGTCGAAATACCAAAATGTTTAATCATCGAGGTTTGGGCTTGGTCTTTCACCTATCATGTATGGCGTAACGGCATCTCGTGCTAAGAAAAAAGTGGGGTTGAACCAAACTCCTTTCTCGTTCCCTTGTACAGCCCATTACCAGGCAATTTTCATTATGTCTTCTTTGTAGTGTCTTGGGAGCTTAGGAGTGAGCCAATGCGTACAAATAGACAGACTAGGTTCCTCCTTTTATGTTAAGGTTGGTGCAAGTCTGTCTATGATTAAGAGTCTAGGTGGTGTTGAAGCTGGCTTATTCATGCTAGTCATCTTAGAGCTATGAGTCAGACACCAAATCTTCCATAGTAATCTTGTTCATATATCGAAAAAGCTTTTGAATATGATAAAAAAAATATTAAAGTGTTTTGTCTCCTCCCCAAGGTAGCATTGCTGAGCGAGCGATCCCTGTCTTGTTTATCTAGCTAGCTTTTCTCCGTGGTACTTAAATTCTATTTGTGAGAGCTCCTTCGGTAAGGAGTCTTCTGTGTGTTATAATCTTTACGGGAATGAATCACATATGTTGGTTGAGAATTGCTCAGGAATTAATTGATAGTTACTTTTCGGGTTGGGCTACTCTTCTTTTTTGTCGATCGAGCTGTTTTCCCTCATTCCACTCGTCCAGCCTTCTTCACGAACTTGTACAATCGATGCCACAAAGATAGCCAACTCTATTATCGAAGAAATAAGGAAAAGGGCAACGATTTGGCACTAGATATCCGGAGGTGTGGAAAGAGCAGCTGTGAGAAGCGAAAAAACCATCAAAAAATGACGATTGTTCATGAAGGTTTCCACAGAAAAACCCCTTAGTTCTGGCAAACGGATCACAATTACAGGTACCTAGGAGCATACCGATGGAATGAACGAAATACAAACAGTTAACATAATATGGTCATAGATCTTAGGTTGTAACTTGATCATGAGCGAATTTGTTGATGTTGCACCCACGAAGTATGGAAAGTGCCAAACATTGGGAACTACCCGGGGAGGAGTTAGGAACAGGAACAAGGAGAAGCGAGAACCACTTAAATAGAGGAATCTATTGTATTTCGTCCTTTGTTCTCCATAGCAACTGGGGATCAAAAAGCACCAAATTTGATGACTTATTAAGGGAAAGACGAAATAAGAGCATGCTATTGAAGACGTTGCAACATATGTCGGGGAGGCCTCCGTTGATTGTGTACGAACAAAATACGAGTCCAAAGGCAGGGTAAGAAAGGGTTTAGCTAATGGAGATATTAACTCTTCCGAGAACCAGTAACGCGTAAACCATGTCAAACCAAGATCGATCAATATCCGAACGGAACGGATTCAAACTTCTCCTAGAATAGTTTCCGGTGCGAAATGAAATTCATAGGATATATATGAGTAATTCAACGGCGAACTAGAAATATTTGATAGGATTCGATTCATTCTAGTAATGAAAAAAAAACTAGCAGTATTTATTATGTATCTTTCATCACTACATCGAAGGCTTTTTTTTTTTTTAATATATTGATAAGATAGCGCGGTACCCAAACTGTATCAATGATTGTGATCCTCATTGTGTACATAATTCGTCTTAGGATCTACCAAAGAAAATTTTTAGGTATAAAGCATATAACAAAAGAGTTTCCATTTCTATCGGTCATAAAATCAAAAAAGAAAAAATAGACAGGAACAATTTGATTCTCTAAGCAAGCAGGTTTTGGGTTATTGTTTCAGCACCCTAATTCTTTTGTTGGCTCTGATACCAAAAAAGAAAATAGAGAAAAAGACCCTTAAGAGAGTAAAGAAAGAAAACCATTTTCAAGAGACAAACTCCAGTGAACCACTATCCTCCTCTCTTCTGTTCTTCATTCCCCTTTGAAAGAACTAAAAAAAAGAATATAACGCTCTAGTCTAATTGAATACTTTTAACGCTCATGCTATTTGAAAGAGCTTTCAGCATGGAGTGGAGACTCGATAACGTACACAAAGAGTAACAGATCCATATGAATATCGTCCTAATTCAGGTCTTGTTCCGCACTTTAATGGATAACTCAAACCCTTACCTTGACCATCTTCCGAAGTTCTAAATAATCTACGGATCAAAGGCTGTAGGGGCGAACTGCTCTACATTCAGCCACGCCACAGTGACCCCCGAAGCGATCTTCTAGTTGTGGAGCAAAATCCGGCAGCCAATTGCTGGCTCTGAATAACCAGCCCAGCAATAAGTTCAATTCTTCCATAACATAACGGGGCGGGGTTACGAGCGAGCCGAGTGACGTAGGTGCACAAGAGTACTTCGCGCCACAACCATCTCTTTTTTATAGGTTCTATGGACTGATGCCTGCTGCTTCATCTGGCAGCAAAGAATCATAGATATGCCGATCATTAGAAGGAAGAACCAACATAAAAAGATTCCTCGCGTATCATCTGTAGCAAAACTATGAACGGGAGCTAAAAGGATTGATTTTCTTTCCAAGCTAGGGATATAGTTCCAAGGGAGGGCTAGATCAAGTGCATCTAGTGTTGGAGAAAAAAGGGCACCCAATGCTTCTGCCATCGAAAAAGGTTAAGCCCCTACAATAGCAGTGGGAGGATTTCTCGCAGGGAATTCTGTCACATCCCTATAGCCAGAGTCAGTCATTAGAGTTTCTTTGCCCTTTCCCTTTATAGACAATGAAAGTGTCCTTTCATCTCGACTAATCCTTACTTTTTGTTTATTGTCGTAGCAGTCCTGCTAACGGTAGTCCCTGTCCCTCATGTTGCTGTGCCAGTTTCCCTGCCAGGGAGAAAGAAAGCTTTTTTCTTTTCATATGATCAAGCTAGGTCAATCAAGTGAGAGTAGGTCAGCTGCCAATTTCCTTGCGAGACACAATGTCTACACGAGGTTTCCCCAATCAATAAGAGTTTCTTTTCCAGAGTTGGGAATAGAGTGATCCCTAGGGAGTAAAAGGTTCCATGGATATAGGAGGGTTTTTACATACCTATCCAAACTCTTTCATCTCTTATTGCTCTAGCTCCTAAGGAATGAGATTAGCTTGATTACGCACCTGATTGACTTTTAGTTACTGAAAGCGCTGATGAACGATCTTCCTTATTTTAGGATGCAACTCGGATTCCTCCTTCCCAGCTTGAAGCCGGATAGCTTGAAGCTTAAGGGCTCTCAGAATTCCCTTTCAAGCTTTCTCGAGTCACCCTAACGTAACGGCTAAGAGAACTTGGCTAACTTCAATCAATTCCACGACTTTCCATCCTTCTTGTGATAGTTTCAGATTAAGGGGATGCAAGTCATCAGTTCTTTCCTCCTAGTCTAGGCTTTAGGCCTGATAGTTCATTCTCGAGGATCACTGAACTTGGCTTACTTCTTACTGAATGCCGTACTTAGAGTTATCCCACTCGGGGTGAGCTCTTAGCGATTAGTCAGTCCGAGTCCAGCTAGTCTTGCACTTTTAGACCGGTCCTTCAAACAAAGGATTAGTCTTCTCCTTTCGGATCCTCTATCTGCTGTGGATCAATGTAAAATAGTGGAATGGCCACATTCCCAGTGACCCTGCCATGTGTTGAGTGGAGTGAAGGGGGCTCTCTCGGGTGAGAGGCCTTTTAAGATGCATAGGCCGGATACTTTTGAACGGTGCGCAATATCGGCTATTTGGCTCAGTCAGCTTCAAAGTCGTAGCGCGCTACCCGCTAGGTTCAATCAAATCAATGAATCAGATTCCCACTTACCGAGGATAAAGACTATCAAGTCAACGTTGGGCTGTGAGGGCTCTCAGCCACATGGATAGTTCAATGTGCTCATCAGCGCCTGACCCTGAGATGTGGATCATCCAAGGCACATTAGCATGGCGTACTTCTCCTGTTCGAACCGGGGTTTGAAACCAAACTTCTCCTCAGGAGGATAGATGGGGCGATTCAGGTGAGATCCAATGTAGATCCAACTTTCTATTCACTCGTGGGATCCGGGCGGTCCGGGAGGGACCACCACGACTCCTTTCTTCTCGAGAATCCATACATCCCTTATCAGTATATGGACAGCTATCTCTCGAGCACAGGTATAGGTCAGATTTCTTACTATTTATCTAGTCAAAATCATATTAGATCAAAAAATGCAGATCACACAGTTTCTAATATAGATATGATGACAGGAAGTAGAAAATTAGAGACAGTTTATTTTTTTAAGACCTACTAGAGAAACTCCTTTTTTTATTTTGTGAATTTTTTTGCAGTTTAATTTTTTACATTTTTTTTTTCGAATGCTCTTATCGGATAATCTGTTTTTCTATTTTTCTAATTCTCCTCCCGCACTAACGAAATGTACGGAACATTTCGTTAGTGGTTTTTTTTCCTCACTCTGTCCTCCATTTTTTTTAAACTTTCCACCTCTTTTTATATTTTACTTATTTTTTTCCTCTTTCCTTTCTTATTTATGATTCTTTTCTCATTTTATCTTTTTTGCCCTATTGTAAATTTTTATTATTTTCTTCTTTAAATTGACCCTTAGTAATTTCTTTTAATATATACCCTGTTTAGATTTTTTTAAAACTCCTTTCCCCTACTGAAAAAATGCTTAGTCCAAGGCCTTTTTTTTTTTTTTTTTTTTGCTTTTGTTTTTGTTTTTCTTATCTTTCCTTCTTCTTTATTTACATCTTTTAGTTTTCATTTTTATTTTCTCTCACTTTTTATTCTTTTTTTTTTGGTTTCCCTTAATCTTTACTACATTACTAAGGGAGAATAATTTTCTCCTTGATATTCGCGAAACATTTCGCACACGAGAGGCATATGCGAAATATTTCGCAAGGAATTTTTTCCTCATCAGTCATCATCAAGCCAAACGTTTTTTAAACTACACTTTTTGGGCCAAACGTTTTTAAAAAAACACTTTTGGGGATCTTCTTTTTTCATACTTTTTAGGCTATTTTTTCTTACCTTTTTGCTTTAAATCTAAAAAAATAGTAAAAAATAGGCTAATATGAAAAGCTTAAGAAAGTATATAAGTTAATTTTTAGTTATAGAAATTAATAGGTCATAATTTGTCAAGTTATGGTTTATAACCAGATAAGTTATGAATAAATTTATCAAGTTATGGTTCATAACCAGACAAGTTATGAACAATTATGGACAATAACTTGTCAAATTATGGTTCATAACCAGACAAGTTATGGACAAAAATAGTAATTTAGCATATTTATTAACTTATATAAACTATTGACCTATTAATTTTAATTTATCTCAAATCTTGATCTATTTTTCTCTTTCACCCTTAAATCTATTATCTGTTATAGTTCTTTTTTTCTTCTTTCTTTCTTTTCTCTTTTAACAATTTGTATAACCGTTGTAAATGAGTTAATACGCGATATATATCATTCTCTAAAGAAGAATGGGTTTTTTGTGGGGACCGTGCAAAATGTTGCGCACATTTCTCCCTCCATATTAACCTAGAAAAATGTTTTTTTCCCGCGTGTTTTTTCTTTTGCTTCCTTTTCCCTCACTTCTTTTTCCTCTCTTTTTTCCCCTCTACAATACATTCTTTTTTTTTCCCCCTTTTCTCCCATGTGACCGTTATAATTTTTTTTCCTAATTGTCCCGTTTAAATAATTTCCTCTCATATATATCCTAATCAAAACTTCTTTTTTTCGAAATGATCATCTCAAATACTTTTTTTTATAATATATATCCATTTTTTTGCTTTCTTTTCCCTTGTTTTCTTTTTTCCGCTCATTTCTTTCTTCCCTCCCTTTTTATCTCTCTACAATACATTCTTTTTTTCCTTCCTCAAATGTGACCCTCATAAATATTTTTTTTCCTCTAACTGTTCTGTTGAAATAGTTTCTTCTTATATATGTCCTAATCAAAACTTTTTTTTTACGAAGTGATCCTCAAATTACTTTTTTTTTACCATATATGCCCAATAATAATATTCAAATGTGTGTTTACGGAAACATTTTATCAGTAATTTTTCTAAATACATTTTTTTCATGTGTACCACTTAATAATTTTTTTTCTCATTGGCCTATTAAAAACTTTTTTCCTTTTAATGTTGTTGCTCTATTTAATATTTTTTGTAAGAGTATTTAATATTTTTTGTACTGGATTTAATTTTTAAGAAAACAATGATAAAAAATATGAACTGTAAATTTTTTTTAAAAAAAAATATGACCTTTATTTCACACGCTACAACTAGTTTAAAAGAAAAAAAAATAAACAAAAAGAATTTAAAAATAAAAGGAATTTCAGAAAGCTTTTTGTTTTGTTTTGTTTTCGTTTTTCCCCTCTTCCTCTCGATCAAAATAGACAAATAGTAACGCTACAGTCGTTCTCCTCCAACGGCTACATTTCCCCTTCTCTCTCGATCTCTTTCCCCCTCTCTCTCCTCAGCCTTCTCTCTCTCTCTCTCTCTCTCTAGATTTCACAGCCTTGAAGCACTTAATGCAGCGAAGAAACGCGATCTTGAGGGAGACGACGATTGGAGTCTGGCGTTGCCCAACCCTAGTGTAGCCAATCTCCCGGCCTTCGCGGAAACAGAGAGGCTCCAAGGAGAACGCTCTGCTGTCTTATCCGGACTCTTTGCCTTCGATACCGAAGCACTCGCCAGCGATCTCCGCCACCAAGTTGAAGAGCCCGCTCCCGCATCCACCGCTGTCGTCGAACCCTCTCAAGAGGAAGCTGAGCATGGTGATGGTTCTCGAGAGCACCGTCATTGGAACCTGCGATGCGGTGTCCAGGTATGGTTGGTGTCCAGGTATGGTTAGCTATGGGTTCTTACTCTGGAGTTACTCCTTTTGTTTAGCCGTGGAAGGAAAAAGTGAGGTTTGTTTTTAAATCTGGAGAGTAAAATTAGGGCATGATTTGGATTTTGTTGAATATGCAAAGAGGGTATTTTTTTTTTTTTCCATTTATTCAAATTATTTGTAAAATTTAACTCTTCGAGGTTTCTAATTGTACGTTATTGATGCAATTACTTATTTGACACTTCCTTCTTATAAATTTTCTCAGAATCCAAAAGGATATTTAGGTTCTACAAAGAAAAATGAGTTGAATTTTGTGTTTTATGTAAAGACTTATACTTATTTGACACTTCCTTCTTATAAATTTTCTCAGAATCCAAAAGGATATTTAGGTTCTACAAAGAAAAATGAGTTGAATTTTGTGTTGTATGTAAAGACTTATGCTTTTTTTTTTTTTGGGGATTGACGGAGTCGGTACCTACATTTTGGCAATTAATTCTACTGCTTCATTCCCCGATTCTATGCAACTAATTGAAGAAAGGGACTTTTATTAAAGAGATAGTGTGTTTATCAGTTTTAGACTGATCAATGTTGTTGCTTGAATTACATGCTCTTATCAGCTTTGTCCATGTTGCTTGCCATTATTTTGATTTATTGCTTGTCTTGGTATCTTCACCTTTGATCGCTGGGCCTACTTCAACTTCAGGAAAGCAAAAGTCTGAAAACCCACAAACAAAAAACTAACCATCTGAGCTTCAACTTTTCTGACGTGGATAGAATATTAGTTGTTGCAAACCATTTTAACATCGATCGTAAAGTTATAGATTTATGTTGC